GTTGGTGCAGAGAGAAATAAAGTATCTTTGCATTTCTCACATATATTTGAAAGCAGGGAAGTAGGAGTCCTATGCATGGCAGCATCCTTTATAAAGCCCTCATTTGTGCTCTTGTTCTCTGCCTAAGATGGAGGAAGATGTGATCATGTAAATGATAATGCATATGCACAAAACAGCTAAACCAAAGCTGGTTTTGGAATTTTTTTAAACTGTGAAATACTTCGTTTACATCTGTTATACTTCTGCATGTGAGATTTGGGGGTATAATTTCCTTGCTTTTAAAAAGAGCAAGCTGAAAAGAAGCAGAAATTCCATAATGTGGGATTCTACTGGCTGGCTGTCAGGCCACCAGCCACCATGGGAACTTTTGATATCCACTATATAGGTCACCTGAACTACTGTGGTAGCAAGCAGCAGTAAAAGGTATAATGCTCTGCATGGACTGGCACCAGGAGGAGGTGGGGAACATTGCTGGTGTTTTTCATACATATTTGCTGACAACAGAAGAGTAGTGAGAATCAGTAACCTTGGCTTCTGCCCCAGGCTGTAGAAAGAAATGTATACACATTTTTTTGCCTATATCCCAAGCTGAGATCCCTTCTGTCCTCTCCCTACCAATCTGTACTGTTCCCATCTCTCCTTCATCTTTTATTCCTTGTTCCAGTTTTCAATGTAGCTGTTTACAGTCATCCATAAACACGTCAACCTCTGTAAACTTTCTGGAAAATACTTTTCTAGTGCGTGGGGTATAGAGAACAATTGACAGTGCAGTAGAAGAATTGATAGTGCAGCATAGGGATTGTATTTCTGGACTGCATAGTTTGGAAAGATTTCATACTTTTATGGCTTTGCCATACATAGCTTATGTAGCAAATATTGCATATGTTCTGGTAAAGCCTTTGTATCACATTTTACCAATCCATGATCTCCTTCTGTGCATTGTATAACACACACTGATTCTTTTCGAGCCCCAACCAAAATAAAAAATAGCAAACAGTGTGTTAGCAAAATTCCAGTCAGGAATCTGCATTATACCTAACTCGTGTGTATTATACAATGCACAGAAGGAGATAATATTCATAATCAAAATAATATGAGAATCTGAAAAGGTTAGAGAAAAGTTTATTTTGCTCAATAGTTATGCTCACTGTATTTCCTTTTGGTAGTTGTGACTTCATAAATTCCATCACCCACATTTCCTGACTCCCAGAATAATAACGTTGCAGCTTTCAATTAAATTTTTCTGGGGTTGGCCTAATTATTCCTTACCACCATTCCACGCTTCTCTTCTGTAGGGCTTCTTGCTCACGTTTATCGTGCAGATTGCACGATTCTCCACTTTCACCCAAAGCCCAAGTGGAAACATGAGAATCTTTGTGCATAGTTTATCAGCAGACCAAAGCAGTTACACAGCCTGGTCAATGATCTCCAAATAACAGAAGAATTTCTTCAGCTTTAATTCTCTGTTACTGCTGCTGGCAAAAAAAAAGAGGTCAACAGCTTTAAGGGTCTCTGAAGAAATTAATATCTGGCAAGAATCCAAGCTTTTCCAGCATTAGATTTGGGTTAGAATACTTGTGAAAAGCAACTAATTTTTAAAGGACGTAGGGACACTATATTGCTGAGTAAACTTAACTATGATGGGAAAGCAATTAACAGCCCACCCAGTGACAGCTACCAATATTAAAATATTCATAAGTTAAATCCAGTTTAATCTTACCCAGGGGCTTTTCCTTATCTACTCCTTATCATAGGAGGTTTTTCTAATAGTGTTACTTGAAAACTGTAATCCTGTTGTCGAATTACAAATACTATAAAAAAGCAACATTTTGAAGCACTTTTAATCTATTCAAAATAATTCTTTTTAAAAACCCTAAAATTAATTATTGTTTTTAAAAGGACACATTTTGATCATCAGTAAATCAGTCCCAGCTAAAATGCAGCACACTGACTGAGAACATTTCTACTCAGTGTACTGCGAACATGAGAACCACAGAATCTGGGTACCAGAGACTCCCAGAAAATGACACACTTAGCTACTTTCATGTAAAAATAATCATACTATTTCAAAGGCCATAGGTAACTAGATATTAGCTTGGTCTACCATGGGACTGACCATCAAATTGTCAACATTTACCCTTGTTCCTTGAGTCCATTTTCTGCCAGAAATTCTAATTACTACTTATAATAAAGAATCTGAACCTCAGAAAGATTTGCGGTTCAACCAGGTGTATATAAGTTTGGATACTTAATCTGATACTGTTGTAATATGCCCGGTCCTTCAGTCCCAAAGCGCCTGTGCCTCTATGTAGATTTTGCATGTCATTGTTTCCTGCAGTGGACATGTTTCGCTACTCCCCTATGGCACTTACAGGCAGGAGCACAGTCTCACTTCCCTCTCTACAACAAAGTCTGAGAGCTTTTCTTCTCCACATCTCTTCTTAACTCAAAGTGAGGAGCTCTGTCAATTTTTGCACATTCTCCACAATGAAGTAAGAGTTTGAATTTCTGTGCCTCCTTCTTCTTTCCATGTCACTCTGCCCTAATTTCCATATTTTTCGTGGC